GTCATTTAGCCTCGGTTGAGCCAAGAGATTTAATAAGAGGATATGATGTTACATATTGTGATTATATGTAAAACTAATAAAAATCATTTTGACAAAAAAAGAAAGAAGGCAGCTTTTATATGCTGATACCCATGAACCCTATTCACTTTAACCTCATGTATGTTACAAGCTCTCTTTTATGATTTTGCTGAAATGCTACATATGTTACTAGGGCAACAATAGCGTTGACGTTTATGGTATAATTGGTAGATAATGCTGACTGATAGCAGCTTATATTGGAATGAACCGTGCTAGTCTTAAACTTTTTCCAATCTTCTTCCACCGACTCTTCTCCCTGGTCTCGGATTTCTGCCAGTCATTTCCGCCAATTCCATATAGTCCATCAACTTCATCTGCCATTCTTCCCGAATAGATAAATCTTGTGTCTTCCAGTACTTCACAATGAGTATTCTTGCTGCTATTGTTGCATATGTAAAAAAAGTTCTATCCTTCTTTAACAACAATTGGCCGACCATGCCCAGGAGAAAGGCCTCTGGTTTCTTCAAAAGGGTATATTTAAATACCTTTTTCATTTCATTATGAATCATCTCCCAAAGTGTCTTAATCCTTGGGCATGTCCACCAAAGGTGAACTCTAATCCTCAAATTCGTCTGTTTTTCTTTAAGTTCAGTCATAGCAAGCGTCAACTTATGTTCATCAAATTGCCTCTGTAGGGCTGGGGCTCTCTTTCTCTCCAGTTGTGTTACTTTACATTCAGCAACAACAGCTTTTTCCCTGGCTTCCTCCGCAGTTTGCCGTATCAAAGTAGGTTCCTGTATCAATTTCTGGGTGGTTTCTGTATTGGTATTATTTATACTTTCTGTATTTAAGTTAATTTTAGTAATTGAAACATCCACTTTCGCATTTATCGTGTCCATTTTCCTGTTAAGCTGATCCAGTGAGTCATTTATCTTATATAATGCAGCCACTAAAGCCTCTTCTGTCGACATTCCTCTTGGTTTTAAATATACTGGTACAAAGGCAGCAACAGAAGGAGCAGGGGGGCCTGATGATGGACCTCTCCTGGATTGTTGCCAAGTCCTCCCAGACCTTAATGTTTTGTCAGCAGTTGACTGGTCTGTTTTTCCTCTTCCATTTACCATAACACTTAAAAGATTCAAGGTCAGTCCCAGAGTCTCACGGTTTTTAACTTGCAGCTGGAAATTCCCCTAGCCCAGCTCTTGTAAAGCAACCGGTTTCAAAGGCTTCCACTAGGGGGAAACAGTTTCTATTTGTAATAGTCAATAGTATCCTCTTTTAAACAATCCAAAATTAGTTTCAAATTAGTTTCAATTTTCAGTTACTTTTACTCCTTTTAAAGCAGCCGGAGACAGTAGAAACAATGTATTTCTCTTGTTTAACTAGCTGTCAATGAACGTTCTAAACGCTGTCAATGAACATTCCAAAAGACGTCAGTCCTGCTAGCAGCCCGTTTCCAGGGTCAGAGCGGTGGTGTTTTAAATCTCTTCGCTCTCTCCCACAGGCATACTCAATCCGCAACTTCCCCCTCTCTTCTCCTGCCTCCAAGAGGGGGTTTAATGTTCTTTACCGATGGAAATTTAATCTTTTACAAAAGGCTTTCCAGGACTCCAGCTTGCAACTTCATTGCCTCAGTCTATTTACAAAAGGGGAAGGCGGACTTCCTGTTTTGAACCTCCCCGTTATGGTACCAAATTAAACATTTAGAAATCCAATTCTTCTGCTTCAGCTCTACTCACGGGTAATTACTTTAAAGTCAAATTGTCCACAGGAAAAGGTCAGCACTCTCCGGCAACAGCTATGCGGCTTCGCTCCGTGGAAGAAGCAGACGATTCGATGCACCGCGCCGCTCACCCCACGTCGCTCCGGAGCCCCAAAAACCGGGGTTCCCGCGAGTGGGGAGGCGCAAAGGTGCCCGCCGAATCCCACGCTCACAGGCTTCTCCCGCCTGTGATTTTAACGGGTCTCCGCCTTCGCCGTGGCGGCCAGACCCAGATTCCCACGGAGCAGATTCCTCCCGGTCAGAGGAATTCCGCCATTACCGGAGGCACCTCCCCGGAAGTCCCCGGTAAACGGCGTTTCTGTGTGCTGCTCTGGTTCGCCAGAAGAGACTTAGTCATGCTGGCTACATGACCCGGAAGCTGTACGCTGGCTCCCAGATTAAGGGTCTCGTGTTCTACTCAATGAGCTATACAGTTTATACGGTATGTATAATGGGACATGAATCCAATATCTCCATTCAGACCAGGTCTCTCCATAGTTTTTAGTTTGGTAATGTGTTTGGTAATGAGTTGTAACTCAGCAACTTCTCTTTCTAAAATTCTTCTGCAATAAGACAACTACTTTAAGATCTTGTATAGAATGCAATTAGAAGCTAATTTTGGTCATCTATCCCTTTAAGAATCCCTTGCCCTTCCCTGTGGAACCAACTGGCCATAACAGTCTTCAACAGTTATAAGGCTGAAGTATCTGACGAAGTGTGTATTACACACAAAAGCTCATACCTTGAAAACTTATATTGAGTTGATCTTTAAGGTGCCACTGGAATTATTAAAAAAGATTTTTTTATCTTGTTATTTATTATGACTATGACAGATCAACATGGCCTTTCACCTGAATCTGGTCTCATTCTTAGTTGACCTCTCCCACGCACACTGTCATAGGTGAACTTATTCCGGTTTTCAACTTCGGCTTTGGATCTCAAAATGTTCTGTTTATGACAGCTGATTCCTCTGTTCGTCTTTATTGGAATCGGAGGGACCGGCCTGTGCACCATGCGCCTTGCTCTTCGCAACCCTGATGTCAGGTAAGTGCCACCCCTCAGGGCAGGATCAGCCCTTGGCATGGTGCTGACAACTGCCATCCCCGCAAAACCACGTCACGTGCTCCCCGCCTCCCAGTGGCCCCTGGGTGTCCTTGACTGATGGATGCGAGGCAGCACTTTTGAATGGGACCTCAGCTGGACTCCCATCCGTGGCAGCTGCCCACTAATTTACGCAACTCAGAATTAATCCCAGGGATCCGTGGCCTGAGAGGATGGGAGTGAGCTTGGCTTCTTTTCAGAAGCAACACTGCCACTGAAGGGCATCTGGGGACCCAGTGGCAGGGACTGGTGGCCTGGCTGGGCCAGGCTGATAAGCACCCTTCCAAGCTCCTTGGGGGCAGAGCTTTTGCCACTTCTTTAAGTGTTGCATCTTAAAGTGCAACCTGAATAAAATATGACCTGCTGTGCTCCAGAGGTAGTATAATAATAATAATAGTTATAAAACAAATTACTACAGTAAAACATGAGCATCAGCTTCTTAGCTTTAGAGTAAGAAAACCAACCATATAAGCATTGCCATTCCTCAGCCGAATTGTATCCAAGGCATTGCAATGAGTGATACAGCATAGCTAAAAGGGTATTTGGGAAGAGAGTAAAGCCAATGAACTGTCTGAGCAGAAAGCACAAGGTCTATCAGGATCCTGTCATGGAGAAAGTGTAGGATTGGGTTGCCAGCATCGAGTTCTGTCCAGCACTGCCTCACAAACTTGCCGCTGTCTCTGATGCAAGGCAGTGAGAAGCTGCCCTTGCATTTATGTAACTGTGTGTTAACTGTCTTTAAAGGGCTTTTACAAATACTTGTGGTACGGTGGCCTTTTTTTACATCCCACATTATAAAAGAAGTGTGCTCTTCTGGTGGCACTGAGGAGGCCATGATTGTTAAATTTGGTGGGAACCATGTGCCAACAGTTGGGCAGAGCCTTACGCTTTATGCTGTATGTTTTTCTTCTTCTTACAAAGATGTATTCCTTGCTGTCTGCCTCTTGTCACGTTTCTCTGCCTGGCTGGGAGAAAAAGAGCAACCCAGAGCCTTGGAACAAGCTGTGACTCAACGACCAGTACAAGGTATGGTAGGAAATACTTAACTAGGGTTATGATGCTGGTTATCTTGTAGGTCAGGGATGGGGAGCCTGGTGTCCAGCAGAGATTGTTGGGACTCCAACTCCCATCAGCCCCATCCCTGAAATCTACAGAAGATGGGCGAATAATAATAATAATAATAATAATAATAATAACAACAACAACAATGGTCATTTGGTGGGAGGAATAATAAGCTTCAGCTTTGGAAGGCCTGGTGTGCGTGATCACAGCATTTGGGGTTGGACTAGATGACCCTTGGGTTCCTTCCATGATTCTTCATTCTCCTGTCCAGTTCAATCTTCTAAACTCTGACTGAATAAGCAGCATAGATCCCCGAGTTTCTGCCATTGACTTGTGGTTCTTCCTGCAAAATTGCTTTTAAGCCCATTAAAGTTGAATGATTAGAGATCCTTTCCTGCCACTTCCGAGTCACCTTCAATGGTAGCCCCACGTAGAGCGCATGGTAGTAGTCCAAGCTGGAGATAACGCTTAACCGTGCTGCCCTCTTTCAGTTCTGTGTGGTGAATGCAGACTATGACAAGCTGAAAAAAGGAGCGGCCAGATATCTGAAGAGCAATGAATCTGGGAGCTATAGTTTGGGTCTTTGGGTTTGATGCTTTTGTAACTGGATCTGTAATGGCTATTAGTCAAATACAATAAATGATTGATTGATTGATTGATTGATTGATTGATTGATTGACTGATTGGTGAAAAAGTGCTTTTTTACTGAGATGCTAACTTTCTCTCTGCATGCCATTCCTTGAACAGCAAAGATAAGGCTTGCTTTCATTGCTCTGTTCATTTGTGCATTTGACAAGTGTTATGTGGAGTGAAATACAGCCCCTGGGCTGGAAAATGTCCCCCTCCTGCCGCCTTGGGTGTCCGATGTGGCCTTCACAGATATAGACACAACTTGGGGGAGGGTGTTTTGGCTGCTGAGCTGCGCCCCCCCCCCATTGTGAGGGCTGAGGGTGTCATGGTGATGCCTCCCCAGCTGCTGCCATTGTCTGTGGGTTGACTGTGATGTTACACAAAAACATTTGGCAGCTGAGCAGGTATAAATGTGGGCCAAGGCGCAAGCCTCGGCAGTTGCCCTCCCCAGAGAGAAATGGGCAGCTCAGTGGCACTCAGCCCTGGTGGTCTCCTGCCCCGTGGCAGCAAGCTGACAAGTGGAAGGAGGCAATTGCCCGGTGCTGGGATGCTGTGGAGCAAGGAGAAGACAAGTACAAAGCTTACTTGCTGGTGGGATCACTACCTGAAGGCGACGGATATTCAGCTCTGAAGCTGGTTGATGTCTGGCAATGGACCTGGCGAGGCTGCAGCTGGTGGGTGGTTGTTGGAAGAGTTTGCATTCAGGCTAGTGGATGCCATGAGGCTACGCTGGCTGAGATGGATGCAAAGTGGTTTGGAAGCCTTGTTTGTTAACAGGCAGCCAAACAGAGGAGGAGTCTGGGGGGACGCTGTTGGATGGGGGCCATCCCACTCACCTGTTTGCCTTTGCCTTACAGGGATGTCCGGAGCCGGTGAGGTTTTCCCCAAGTCCAAAGTCATGAAGAGACCCGCAGGACGTCCCTATTTACATCGGAGAAATGAATGCGAAATACTGGCAGTGAGCAATGGACAAGGCCATGGCGGTACCTGAGAGAAGGAGCTTTGAAGGGAGACTGAAGACGGACATCTGCTGCATTGCAAGTGATGGGGCAGTGCGGAGAGAGAAGAAAATGAGGGAGGAAACATTAGGCCACATTAGGCACACCGTCCATTGGAAGTACTATGAAGACGCTTTGAACCGGAATGGCTTCCCCTCAGGGATTCTGGGAACTGTAGGTGGTTAAGGGGACAGAGAGTTGTTAGGCGGGTTAGGCTTAGGGTTAGGCTTAGGCTTAGGCTTAGGCTTGGGGTAGGGGTAGGGGTAGGGGTAGGGGTAGGGGTAGGGGTAGGGGTAAGGGTAAGGGTAAGGGTAAGGATAGGGGTAGGGGTAGGGGTAGGGGTAGGGGTAAGGGTAGGGTTAGGGTTCCCTTCTTGTCAGGGAACTCTGGGAATTGTAGCTCTAGTTAAGAGTTATGGGGTAGGGGTAGGGTTCCCTTCTTGTCAGGGAACTTTGGGAAATGTAGCTCTGGTTAAGGGTTAATGTGTAGGATTAGGGTTCCCTTCTTTTCAGGGAACTCTGGGAATTGTAGCTCTGGTTAGGGAGAAGGATTGGGGTTCCCTTCTTGCCAGGGAACTCTGGGAATTGTAGCTCTAGTTAATGGTTAAGGGTTAGCATTAGGGTTAGAGTTAGGCTTAGCATCAGGGGTAGGGGTATTGGTAGAGTTCCCTTTTGCCAGGGAACTCTGGGAATTGTAGCTCTTGGAGGGGAACAGGGGGTCTCCTAACAACTCTCTGCACCCTTTTCAAACTATAGCTCCCAGATTCTTTGGGGGAAGAAGCCATGAGTGTTTAAAGCGGCTTCATAGCACATGAAATGGTGTGGATGTGGCCCTGGCCTCCCTCACCCCACTGCCCCTTATTATTGAGGAATCGAAAAGATTTCCCCATGCAAATCTCTCGGAAACAATGTATTTCATCTGGAAAACTATTTAATAAAGATTACTTTTTATTAAAACCTTTGAATGTGTTTGAACTGTGTTTGAGTACGCAGAGAATGGCCAAGGGGTGCCAATTTTATCTGCCCTCCACCATCTGATGCACTTACCTGCATGCCAAGAACAGTTTTGTGAGCTGAAGAGAGAAAGGGGCAACTCTAGATCATGGGTAGGTAAACTAAGGCCCGGGGGCCAGATCTGACCCAATCACCTTCTAAATTTGGCCTGTGGATGGTCAGGGAATCAGCATTTTTTTACATGAGTAGAATGTGTCCTTTTATTTAAAATGCATCTTTGGGTTATTTGTGGGGCATCAGAATTCGTTCATTTCCCCCCAGAAAAATATAGTCTGGCCCCCCACAAGGTCTGAGGGACAGTGGACCGGCCCCCTGCTGAAAAAGTTTGCTGACTCCTGCTCTAGACGGAAGCCAAAGGGAGAAGCTGGAACTTCTCCAACTGCTTAGGCATTGCAAAGTTGCATGCAACCGGATGCCTGGCCAATGAGAGATAACTTGCTCCATATGAGGCAGCTTGTCACATCGGATGCCCCTAGCTCTTGCCACTAGGCAACACTGCTTTTCCGGTATCAGTAGACAATGGCGGGAGAGAGATAGGCAAGCACTCTTGCCCTTTGCCACCTCCATGCCTCTCATGCGCATGGGGTTTTGTTCGAAAGTTTCATAGGGTTGCCATATTCGAGAGAGCAAATAAGAGCAGAGGCAGCGGGCGGGCGGGGGGTGGTGGCTGTGGCCAGGCCTGGGGGCCACTGAGGGGAGGAGGAGGAGGAGGAGGAGGAGGAGGGAGGCCTGACACGGCTCTTAACTTGGGGAGGGGGAGATGCTGTCTGCATTCAGCCAGCCGCCCGCCAGACTGACCGACTGCTCGACCACTCCCTGAGCACGTGCAAAAGGGGGAGGATTATTTTTTCAAAATTTAAAAAAATCCGCCCAGCTGGTGATTTCACCTTTGGAATCCTGGGCATGTCCAGGGAAATCCAGAAGTATGGCAACCCTAAAATAAATACGTGAGCATTTGAATCCACTTACCGTATTTTTCCGTGTATAAGACTATATTTTTTCCTAAATTTCTGAAGTTTAATTTAAAATAAGGGGTCATCTTATACACGGATAGTGCATAGTGCATTTTCTTAATTTTGAGTCCCCCAAAATAGGGGGCGTCTTATACACGGGGGTATGTTATACACGGAAAAATATGGTAATTATAATGCGAGGCTTTTTCGGCAAATAAAAGAATTAGTTGTGAAGAGGAGCAAAATTATAAACATGAAAGCTATTCTCACTGTGTTAAATGGCGGTTCTCTGTGGCACTCTTAAGGGTGTGTTGAAAGTGATTTTCAATTGCAAACGAAAACAAGCGATCCCTTTGCTAGCTTTCCAGGGCACAAAATGCTAATTCACAGATGGAGTAACAGCACCATCTTGTGAATATGTTTGCTTTCAACAGGGCATTTATAACTAACCTTCCTCCTCTCCCTTTTGGCCCAACTCCAACCTTAGCATGCACCATACTGCCATTTAAAAACATTTTTACTTGAATGTGGGAAAGGGGACCATCATTTGCATTGATCTAGCTTGGGGGACTAAGAGGCCATGCTACAATCGGGAAGTTCTGGGTTCAAATCTCACCTCTGCCATGAAATTACTAGCTGGCCTTGCACCAGTGGCAGACCTGTTCAGACACAGCAATAAACATGGTGTGATTATATGCTTTTGCACTGTCCTCCCCTTTGCACGCGACAAGATGGGGTTTAAAATTTCCATTTGCAGATAGGAGCAAATGACAGTTTGTCATTACATCTGAACATGGCAACTGGTGCCTTGTTCAGATCACAGTTTGTGAATGAGCCAGGATATCGAAGCGAACCCCCATTTTGTCCCATCATGAAAATAAATGGGATTTAATTAGGCATGCCACAGTTCAGTCCCATCGATTTCAATAGGTCTGGCTTCAAACCAAAACGGTCAGGTAAAAACTGGTGGTTGCCAACCCGGGGTTTTGTTTTTGTTTTTTAAAGGACGCTGAAGGTCTGTGCCTTTAACAGGTGCGCGAGGCAGGGATAAATTTGTCTGATCGCAAAAATAATAGCAGACTTATAAATTTCCCGGACCCCTCCCCCCCAAAAAAGGTTATATTTAAGACCCCTCACTGAATAAATTTCCCAAAAAAAATATGTTTCATCCATTAAAATGAAACAGCCGCCTGTCTGTTAAACGTGTAGGAGCCACAGGACTTTTCCTTATAACACATGGAGGGATGGTTTCGCTCACCAAGTCTCAGGCGCGCATATAAGAGAATGTATTTCCAGTGTGGTGTTTATAGCCTTGGTTTCAGAAATATGTTTGAAAGCATCCTCTCAGCGCCTGCAAAGTGCTGTGGCATTAAATGGTGGCGAAAAGCCTCTATGGCAAGAGTTTCCCAAACTCGGTTCTCCGGCTGTTTTTGGACAACAGTTCCAATCATCCCTGGCCACTGGTCCTGCTAGCGAGGGATGATGGGAGTTGTAGTCCAACAACAGCCAGAGACCAAAGCTGGGGGGGGGCACTGCTGTATGGCCTGCATAGCATCTTTGTGTGGACAGACGGAGTCCCCCCTAACCCCAGGCAAGTCCCGAGCGGAATAATGAGTCATGACAACATGCGATGGGATTCAAACTGGCCACAACTTTATTATGTTTCAGATGTGGGTAGACCCTGGCTCAGGCATTGGGCGTTCATCCTTCCCAGTCCCCAGCTGGGGATCTGGGAGACATCAGGGTTATCCAGAATGTGTGGGGATTGGGCTGGCTCTGGAGAACATATGTTCAAGCAGAGAGCCTACCTCCCGTTTCACCGCCATCGCAGGGGAGAGCAATGACAACCTCTCGGCGTATGGCCAATGCCTCCCCTCAAGACCCCTTTAATGGGGAACCCTGGGATTACCGCCACAAGGGAGACGTGGGTCACCGCTTCTCCCCCCCCCCCCCCATTTAGGAAGATAGACTAAAGGATTCCGCCCAAGGCCTGAAACCGCCAAAGTTGTGACATTTTGCTACAGGAAAGGCAAAACCTGCCAATGCAGGAAAATTGCTTTCCGGCCCTTCAACAGAGACCTTGATGTAGCAGTGCCTGCGTGTGGAAAAGATGTTAACCTGCAAAAGAAGACTTAACTGAGGGAGAGGAGGGTGGAAGAAGCTCTGGAGCCGACTGCCTGCTTTGCAGGAAATATTCCCCTTGTGTTGTGTGGGCAGGACGGTCCCTCTTCTTACCTGGACAATCCCCTGGCAACGCCTCCCCAGGCGGGATTGGGCGATTGGCTGACATAGGCGGAGACCTCCAGGTATCCAGCCTGGGTAGGATGAAGCCAGCCTGAACTACCAGGAGTCGCTCTGGGATCCAGGGGGCTGCACGCTCCCATTTGATGTGGGGAGCGGTCATTCCCTCCTCTGGTCCCTCCAATATAGGGGCCAGGGGCTTAGCAAGATGTAGCTCCTGTCTCTCCTGTTCTCATCCTGAAGCAAAGTTCTTAACCCAAGGTACTATTTTTGGGTTAGCGGAGTCTGTAACCTGAAGCATCTGTAACCCGAGGTACCACTGTAGTGGGTCCAACGGTCATGGAAGCAGTTTCTGCACATGCTGTAGAGGGAATCGAGGGGCAGATGGGGCTCATCCGCCTGGGAAAACAGCCCATCTAGGAGAAGAAAAACTGATCCTCAATCTCCACTGCCTTGAGGGAGATCTTTGGGAGAGAAAAAGGCTAAGGAGGAAACCTGGAGTGGAGTCGCTAAGATGGTTGGATGATGTCTTGTAGGCCTCCTTCTGGCAACTCCTTCAGCCAAGCTGGTGCCAAACGTCTTGCTCTGCTTTCCTTTGGACCACATCAGTGAGGCCGAGAGTTGGGTCTTGTCATCTGGGCAGCCCAGGACCTCCATGCACACTGCCCAGACTTGCACTCCAGGGAGGTCAAGCAATGTGGCAGGCAGCAGTGACGAGTTACTGGTCTCTGCAGCCACAGCAGGGGCTGTGATTCTCCAGGGGTTTGATTTCATCCCTAGAAGCACACTCCTCCATTGTCCCCCGAGACAGGCGACACGTAAATTCAACCTAAGCATATGAGGGAGGGGTCTTGCAGGCAGTTTGCTGGGTGTTAAGAGTCCAACAGGGACGCGGGTGGCACTGTGGGTTAAACCACAGAGCCTAGGACTTGCTGATCAGAAGGTTGGCGGTTCGAATCCCTGCAACGGGGTGAGCTCCCGTTGCTCAGTCCCAGCTCCTGCCAACCTAGCAGTTCGAAAGCACGTCAAAGTGCAAGTAGATAAATAGGTACTGCTGCAGCGGGAAGGTAAACGGCGTTTCTGTGCGCTGCTCTGGTTCGCCAGAAGCGGCTTAGTCATGCTGGCCACGTGACCTGGAAGCTATATGCTGGCTCCCTCGGCCAATAAAGCGAGATGAGCATCGCAACCCCAGAGTCAGTCACGACTGTACCTCATGGTCAGGGGTCCCTTTACCTTTACCTTTAAGAGTCCATCTGCAAACCAACAGGTTAGCCAGCCCTGGCGCATTGTTTGGCTCCAACTGCTGCCTGTCACTTACATCTCTTCTCCCAGATCAGGTGTCACACATTCTGGCCCATCCAGTGGAACAGAGCCCAGCAATCATGCTTTGTGGCTTGTGAGGTGTATGACAAACCAGCCTGTTTTGTGGTCCCGGGAGATTTTTCTTGCCTCTGAAACATGCACTAATGGTGGGGTGCATTTGGTTCAGTTGTGCACACCTGCCTTCATTGACACACACACAAAAAGTTCCTCCTCCACTCCCACCTTGTGCTAAATAAGACAAGCAGGGATGGGAGCTGTTAATTGTGACGTTAATAGATGGCTTGCTCAACTGAAGGGTGATTTTCACTAGATATTTTTACATGGGAGGAGAATGAAAGTGGCAGCTGGGTTTAATCAATAATGCAAAAATAGGAAGCGTTAAAGGGCACCAAGATGTGAGCCAATGTAT